GTTGCCGGGAAACAGTGCAGCGGTGATGGGGGAACATGAGAGGAGGACTGGGGGCTGGAAGCCACACTGGAGGACGTCCCTCTTGGGGGCCATGCCAAAGAAGGCCTGGCAAACAGCGTGCGCACTCACACACACACACACACACACACTCACACACACACACACACACACACACTCTCACACACACACACACACACACACGCACATCCACGCATACACATGCCGGCATAGGTGCACGGACACGTAATCATGCCGTACATGCATGCACAAACACATAAACACACGCAGACACACACCCAAGCACAAAAAAACCCCCCAGCGGCCGTGTTTATAAACCACCGGCCTGTAATCCGCTGGGATTTATAAATAAGCTTTGTAGCGTATAAACAGTTTTATGAACACGTTTTATAAAACATCAGACATAATTTGAGAGCTCCGCAGTGAAGGGGGGGGGGGAGTGACTTGCACAAACCTGCCTCTCCACCTCAATACGGGGGACTGGAAAAAAAGGGCCCCCCCATCTGCGGTTCCCGACCCCAGCCTGTGACGCACTCTCACACAGACCCCCCTCTCCTAATCCCCATTCCAGAGCTGCACCCCCACACCCCGTGTAAACTGGAACACCAGACCGGTGTTAAAAATTAAAACAAACAAATGAAGGAGCAAACAAATCCTAACAACCTGGATTATGCGTATTCCAATGAGGAAGCAAACGACGAGCGATAAGCCTCGATTTGAAAAAACTGCCTAGTGGACCCTCTGCGGAGAGTGAGTAGCTGACAGAGGGTGTGTGTCACTGCACCAGTCTCTCACGGGGGGGTAAGGGCAGGGCGGAGGCGGGGGTGGCACGGTGTCAGGCAAGGCAGACCACTAAGCACCTCTGTTTCAGCGGGCAGATTTCCACAGAATGCAGGTACACAAAAGGCATACCTTCTGAGTTATAGTGTGTGTGGGGGGGGTAAAGGTGAAGAGAAATCCACCAAATTTGCAATCGACATCGGGGGCATCTGAATCAATCTCTCCTGCATGGGCGGGTATGGGAGGCATCATTCCTACCCCAGCCTCAGACAAAAAAAAAAAAAAAAGAATTAACGTCTGGGAAAAAAAATCCACCAAAGTGCTTTAAAGCTCGAAAGGCCAATTTGTTCCAGCTCAAAATGAAAGCAGAAAATAATGCACTGAACTGTACATGCATAAAGAAGAGCGGCCTGCTTTGCAGCCCCCCCCAGCAGCCTGTCCTGCATAGAACCATGCAAGCCAGGTCTCATCATGCTGGGGGGGTAACACTCTGAGGGGATTTCAGCAGGCCATCACCAACCTTGTCCTGGGGTGATTCCTGCCATCCTCAGGCATGTGACCCTACCGTAAGCAGGTGTTTGGTGTGGGGGGGGGGAAATACAGACCTCCTGTAAAGCTATTAGTCCAGATTGTAGTCTCCAGTAAGCAAAATGGATGGAAACTAGAGGGAAGAGGTGGGGTAACAGCATCACCACCACACAAAAAGACAGTGTTGACACATTAACAAAATACATTCCGCTGTCAACTCAGGACAGTGACCTAACTTTTTTCCAACGCTGCATGATGCTGGTCAGATGCCATCATACACGCGCGCGCGGGTGCCCCAAGAAGTCCGAACTTCCCACAATGCATTGCACGTTTTGTGGTCAAACGTTTGCCGCTGGCGCAACAGCTCTGGCTCAACATCACTGAAGACTGGAACGGGCCAGGAGACAACTGCACGCTTAGCTAACGAGGACCACTGTCTCACGGGGACAAAAATCAAAATAAATCCCCTGATACAGCCACAGATGTAAAACGCGTCCCGCGCACAGCACCGTTAGCCACCCGATATAATTGAATGCAGCCTGATTTATCGACTACGCAGCCGTCGCCGAGACAATGCGGCCATCCTTGGAATAGCCTGACATCGGCATTTAAAAAACAATTATCCGCGTCAAGGCCTGGCTACGCACAGCTACGGCAGCGTTCGTCTGGACTAATCGCCGGGGCCTATTTCAGGACGGTCTGGGTTTTCTGCTTCTTTTTTTTTAAAGGGACGCCACGGCGATTGAGGACTTGAAAACGTTTGTTATGCAAATTGGGTGTGGAGGAGAAAGGGGGGGGTGGTGCGGGGAGTGGGGAGGGGGGGCATTGCTGCGAACCGATATCCGCGTTATATGGCCGACGCAAATCCAATCCGTCATCCTGACATCTTTTTGGGCGTTGTGCCTCAAACGGGAGGTCGCAGGCAATAACCACGTAGCGTTCGTGTATTTTTGTTCCCTCTCCCTCTTTTTCTCCTGCATCCTGTCAAAAACGATCCGTCAAGAAGAGAGAAAGTGGCAGACTCCGACGCACGTCAGCTTTATTGCGACTTTACAAGTTTTGCGCATCCCTGTTGGAAACGGACATCTTACACCTGACCTGTACACCTCAGTCTCCTAAATTTTGCGCTCAAAAAAAGAATTAAACAAAAATAATAGCATGATTTTTTTTTCCTAGCCCCCAAAAAAGAACCTGAACCAGTGATGGTGCCGCACGGCCCCCCGGGACGGCTTTGCCGGACACCCCGTTCCGCCGTGACAGGTCCTGCCTTTCGTCACCCCAGAACAGAGCCGCTCCAATATGTAAATAGCATTGTTACATCACGCCAATTCCGCGCCATATTTGGCAATGTGGCCCTGCTCTGGGATGGCGGAGGGCTCTGCCGTGTGCCCCCATCCGCGCGGCACCGCATGTCATTAATCATAACACCAGAGCTGCTTTGATTACCATTGTCTCCCCCATAATAATCCGCATGATGAAAACGCAAGGAAAACAGAATCACGTGAAAATAACGTAAAGGATGGAATACACTACAATAAGAAAAATATCAACAGAGGTCACAATAAGGCCGTATTCTGTGAACAGTTAATGATAACACATTGTGTCTTTTACACCAGGTCGCTGTGCTCCTAGAGGTGTGGCGAGATGGCAAGCGGGGGCCCTCAGAAGACCTGCCTGAGCCCCAAGAAGGCCTCAGAATGTTCGAGATCCCACGAGTCACCAGACCAGCTATCGTCCCGCATTCTAGTTGGGGGGTTCTGGGGAGCAAAAGGACGATGACATCCTAACACACCTCTAATGCCGACGGCCCGGGGGGGGGGGGGGGGAGTTATCCCATCTCCATGGACTTCCCACCAAACGTTTTTTTAATTTTTTTTTTATAAATAAACACAGCCTGGCGGGCCGCGACCCCACGCTATCGCAGGAACCCCTTGCACATTATAATGTAAATGAGCCTAATAACCGCACAGAGCTGCTGACTGAGCCAAGGAGTATGTGTGATAGCGTGCTTACACGGGTTGTGTACTTTGTTTAAAAGGCAGTACTGTCTTTAAAACAAGGTGGGGGGGGGGGGTGTTAACTAAACGGCCACGACCCCAGTCAATACCGGCACCCACTGACATCCCGCAAGTGCTCTGAACGGGATCTGACAGCAGCAGGGGCCCGAATCCCCATTACGCCACTCACACAAACTCCACCGGCCCAGACGGCCAGAAAAACACAGCCCCGGCCATCCCCTCACACCGGGCCGCCTTCCTCTACGGGCCAAAAACCCGCCGTCAGACACCTGTGTGTGGCCGCCCCTGAATAGGCACCAAACGCACACCGCTGTCCCAGAACCAGAACACTCAGCGTCTCACCGATCACACTTTAAGCCCCTCCGCTCCGACGACTCCTCGTATGGTTGTTTACAACGGAGTGACTAATTTTCTTGTTTTCCTCTTTGTTTCCCTCGCTCCCTGTTTTTTTTCTTTATTTATTGCTGGAAGTCAAACCACAAAGAGCTCAACATAATTAAAAAAAAGAGAGAGAAAAACTCTAACGAATAATTAGTGCCGTTACGTTTCCTTAAATAAATTACTTTTCCTTGACAACTGAAAATAATCGAAAGCCTTCTCCTCTTCTCCTGTTCCCCTTTTCCCCGCGAGAAAGCGAGAGTCTGCAGTCCCACATTCACACAGCCTGTGATGCGGCTGCCATGTGACCACAAGGAAATGGAGACACATCTGTCCAGACCACATCTGAGAGCTGGGCGCTTTGCACGGAACCACGTCCTTCGTTGGGCCGGGACGACGTACTGCTGCAGACAGCTTCCCCGGTAACATCCCCCCCCGCCTCCCCGCCCCC